TTTATTCAGAGGAGTATGGAACATTGCATATCAATATTGTGTATTTTTTTAACCAGTATTTATATTATATTATATTTATATTGTAAAAAGTATAGTTTGCAGAGTGATTGTGATTCTTGCTATCACTCATGCTTCCCCCCTCCAGAACCTCACTCACAGCAATGTATTGACTCCCTATGTATAGGTACGTCAAAAATGCTGTTGGGTGCTTTCCTTCCTCAAGCCAATGCAATGGATTAATCTTCTGTGAGCCGCTAAGATGATTATCCAATCTATTAGGATCCTCCCAACGGAAGGACACCTTCCAATATACCAGATGACCACTTGTCGTCCACCACAGAGAAATGCTGTAGGTATAATCAAAGGGAAAGTGGGGTCAATACATTGTGGTCAGTGAGGTTCTGGAGGGGGAGCACGAGTGATAGCATGAATCACAAATTACCTGCTACGGTCACTGGCTATATCACCGAGTCATCATTGTATTTAAGATGTAGAAGGTGTTTTGTAGTACTGGGACTTTTTAAAAATGAACTGACACATTGGATTGCTATATATTGACCATTTCTAAGGACATTTTTCAGCACAAAACTTCAATGTGTTGCATTAGGGGAAAGTGTTTTGTAGTCCCTTCAATATTTACACGTTTGCTTTATAGGTGTTCACTATATGATTTATGTTTTTCATCACAAAGTATTTATCAAAGAGTGTTGTATGGATATCCTCATTGAAGAGGGAGGTGCATTATAGCATGATACATCACGGGGTATTGTATGGGTATCCTCGTTGAGGAGAGAGGTGCATTGTAGCATGATGCACATGTTATTTATGTTCCTTTTTTAGAGTTGTGACTACACATTTATTTGAGGGAGGTGTATTGTAGCACAATGCACTTTTTTAACCAGGCATCTTTTAAAGTGGGATTCATACACTCCCTTATCAACTTGTCACTTTAACTATTTTTGTAGGCGTGGCAGCGCAGCATCCTAATTGGTGTGTGTGTGTCATTTATTTCTTGGACCTCCCCATGTCAGCCTACAACAGGTCAGCTCCGCCCTCTGACTCCTCCAGGACAACTTCTTTCCTAGCCTATAAGAGCGGCTATCTCCCCTCTATCAGCATTCTTTTTTCGTCCATGCTCTGGATACCTTGAAAAATCTCTCTTCTATGGCCTTCCCAGGTTCAGCCTCTCCTGGGTAAGAAGACAACTCATTTGGGCTGTAAACCTCCCTGTGCAGTGGGTTCCCTTGGTGCGGGGATTGTTTTGTATGTTTTAAAAAATTCCTAAGACGGGATGACTTACCTGTGCATAGATTGGCTGGCTTGTAGTATCTCAGTCCGTTGGTCCATATATCAGCAGATCTGTGGGTTGGCTGACACTTGTGGTCCATATCTCAGCAGGTCTGTGGGCTGGCTGGCTGGCATCTGGGGCTGGTAATCCCCACATTCATGGCGGCTGTGTTTGTTCCGGCTACAGAGCAGGCTAGGTGGTACACATGCTAAGACGGCGGGCACTGCTGCCGGGATGTTCTGTGACACAGGAATCTACTGTGTTATCTAGAGGCTGTCTCTCTCTCTCATGTTGTAGCTCTGGGGCTACTGCAGACTCTGCTGTGTCTCTATGAACTCCACCTGTTTACCTAATTACTCCACTACTCCAGCCTGGGTCTTTCTGCTGCTCTGTTCCCTCTAGGTCACTTCAGCTGTTTACCTTGGAGGCATGCATATGTATTATGACTCTGAGATGCTGGTTAGGTTATATTCCCACTTAGGCTATTGCTAAAAGCTGCAGCTTCAAGCGCTGAAGAGCTAATGGAGAGGTATTTTTTTTCTTTGTTTTTTAAAAAGTAGCAAAAAATAATATAGAGTGCTATCTGCTTACCTTTTTGGCAGAAAGAAGACTCCAGCATGGAATAAAGCATCCTCCAAGAGCTTGGTCCTAAGCAATCCTGTCTCCTGTTGTCCAGGACAAGTTGCTTCACCAGAACAGTCCAGGGTGGATTAAACATCCACCAAGTGCTCGTTCTAGGACGCCATCGCCAGTGACCCATTGCAGTTGTATGGAAATGGGACAAGGAAAATCTTGTCACTGAAATGCTTCAAAGAAGAGTAAATCCTCTGGCCAGCAGAGGAAAAGGTCTTCTACCTCTTCTGCTCCAACCCACCCTGAAGTGGTGGCTTGTTGGGGCTGTTCAGCTGACGCATTGCCAGGGGAACTGGTGGGCAAATTGGTGTGCACATCCATTCTTAGGTAGGGGGCACGTGACAAAGCTGCAGATGCACAGCAAGTAAAATTGTACATTAGAGACACAGCAAAAAGTTCTTCACCCAAAAAACAGAAGAGAAAAAAAGTGTGTCAAAAGGATTGCAATTTATGGAATATAGTTCCTAAAGTAGCCACCTCTTTACAGGGATTGGCTAGCCACATAATGCTTCCACTTGAAGGTTCGGTGTCTTTTAGGGATCCAATGGACCGCAATATAGATACAGATCTGAAGAGGATGTACAGTGTGGCAGGACCATCCCCTATGGCCCTCAAACTGTGGGTGGCAGAAATGGAGTCCTGTGGTTCAGGATAAGTGCAGTTTTTCAGGACAGCTGTGGACTTCATTGCTGAAGTGTCAGTGGATCTAGTCAGAATGACAGCAACGTTAATGGCTCACACAGTAACAAAAGAGCCTTATGGCTAAAGCATCGTTCTGCTGACACTGCCTCTAAACACAGCCTTGGCTCGATTCTGTTTGATGGGAAGCCCCATTTTGGCAAGACCTTTTTAAAGCTGCCATTCAGCAGGTATCCTGTGGGAAGTCAAGCCTTATCCTTCAGGAGAAGAGATGGCAACGTCAGTCCTTTTCACTCTTTTTTTCAGAAGAGTTGAGAATCGTTTCAAAGAAGCCAGTACATACAGGCCTGGTGGGCCATTTTTCAGACATTGGAAGAATGTCAGTGCAGCATTTCCCAGTAAAGATCAGTAAAAAATGGAACTGCAACCATCTCACAGACGTCCAGGCTGTCCACGGAAGTGAACACCTCGGCAGGAGCATCTTCTGTTAAGGGTTGATGAAAATCGCCATGCAACTTCACTTCAGTTATCTAAAGACACAACATGGCGTACACTGCAGAGGAATGCCATGCATGGGTGTCATCCACAAAGGAAGCTTCTCCTAAAGCCCACGTGCAAAAAAGCCTGCCTAGCATTTACCAGGGCCCATTCTGAAAAAGACAACTACTGGGTACTCTGAAGTGATGAGACCAAGATAAATGTTTTTGGAACTTATGGCTTCAAAACTTTATGGCGTCGCAAAGATGAGGACATTACACAATACACACGGACACACAATCCAAACTAACATTATCAACCTATTTGTAGAACAGGCAAACATCGGATCCTTATTCACGTAGTGCCTACCAACAAAGATATATTACAAGGAATATTCACCAATTCGATCATGTACTCAACAGGAATTATCGATATTTAAAATATCACGTAGGCTCTGAAATTTTGACCACTTTCCATACAAAATTATTTCGGTCGCAAAATGTTTCTGGGTTGCCTGCTTTAAATCCCTCCACAGAATTTCAATGGTATTTAATTGAAACTTTATCTTGTTTAAGAGAGATCAATTTCCAGTTCATCTTCAGCTCTGAGAGTTGTCCTCACATTTTCATCAAGCACAATTTTATATGATTCATAGTTGACTGAAAATCATCCCCAAACCATAACCTTTCCATCGCCATGCTTCACAATTGTTATGAGATGGTTCTCCTAAGTGAACCTGTGCATGAAGAAGGGAGCCTTGTGTTCTGGGGAAGTGTTAAGGAGCTCTGGTAGTGGATCCGAAAATTTTTTGAACAATGCAATTTTTGTATTTTTCAGCTTTGTGATGAGTTTTGGCTGTACTCCTGATTTGCTGACAACAGTCTAACACAGGGGTGGGCAACTGTGGCCCTCCAGCTGTTGTAGAACTACAAATCCCATGAGGCATTGCAAAACTGACAGTTACAAGCATGACTCCCAAAGGCAGAGGCATGATGGGACATGTAGTTCACCAGCAGCTGGAGGGCCACAATTGCCCACCCCTGGTCTAACACATGGTTGTAATCAGCACAGAATGTGGAAGAGGAAGCTGTCTGCACTTGCATTTTATGAGCACTGTAATAATACAAACAATAGTTATTTTTGACAATCCAACATAGACAATCCTAACAGAAAAGATCTCTCTCTCTCTCTCTCTCTCTCTCTCTCTCTCTCTCTCTCACAAGCAAACGGTCTGCTGATCACCTTTTTGCACAACTTTCTGGATTCCCATCATGCTTTGCAGCTTCTCCTCTGCTCTTTCTTTTGGCTTAATTTCTAAGGGCTACATATCCCATAGTACCTTGCTGCTTGAAAAGTGATTCCTGTACTGACTCCGCCTCCTGAAACTCTGAAACTCATCCTCTCAGCACCTGTGAAATATGACACAGCAATGCTTACACACAGGGCATGGTAAATGAAAGTCACATAATTCAAGTAGTAAATGTGGGGATCTTCACACTGTAAGTTTACCATTTTCAAGAGTGTTTAAATTGAATAGGAGTAAGCTAGAAATATTGAAATGCACTAGAGTAATGAACAGATGATTTAACATTTAACCATAGATATGCTTTAAGTAAAATGGATCACAAAAGCTGCTCAATTTGCTGCATGCACAGTTTGTTTTTGCCACATATATATTTTAAGTTGTGATGACACAGACAAGTCTTTCATCCTCTACCAAAGATGGCTGTGGTTTGTCAAAGGAATTTAATTAACATGAATATGTTGAAGGTGTAACAAGGAACAGTGGCGCCTCTGGATAATCCCTAGGCCTAAAAGTGTGTTTGCCTGCTGTTTATCAGCATGATGCCTAATTTAAATCCCATCTTTTAGCTTGTACACATGTGGCAATGCAGATCATTGTGAGCAATAAATATCATTCTTTTCTTTCTTTGCAGAATCACAATGCTACGCAGTTTTTTGCATGCTAAAACTGGACCATGAAATATTTGACACAGACATGATCATTGTGGACAAAACAATGACGGACATATGTTTTGAGAACATAATTGTATTGTAAGTACTTGTTTTAGGTTACCTGGCACTACACATAAAAGTTTACAGCAAACTGGAGCCAACATTGGAAATTAGCCTATTTTTTTGTTTTTTTCTTCTCCGTGCTTACTAGAGACACAATAGAAGTGATCTAATCTAAGTGACATAGTGATATAATTGTAACAAACAAAGCTTAATTTTAGCTAAAAATAAAAAACCTAAAAATCAGCATAAGAAAACATAACATATAGTTATTATGGGTCCCTTCTGCTTATTGAGCTTTTAGGAGAAAACTTAGTTTATCCTACCCCTCGCCCAGTAATCTTCTGTTGCAACGGGGGTTAATAAAACTAAAGGGATGTCAGGAGTTCTGGACAGCTCTGTTATACCCACCTTTTCCTGCCAGATCCGCCATTTATAGAAGCCATATCTGAGTGGGGGCGGACAGATGCTGGATAGCTCTGCTCCATTCATAGATCCTGAGTCAATCACTGGTGTTATGAGTGTGGATTTGGTAGGAAAGGGTGGGCATAATAGAGATGTCCTGATGAGGGCTCCTGACAGCCCTTTAGCGGTATTAACCCCTTGCTGGGGGTTTTGTCCACGCCATTGCTTTCATGGGGGACTTGTCAGAAATAAATTACCTCTGTGATAAGAGACCTAAAGTCTGTTTTTCACCGAAAATGGAACGGGACAGCCAGTGTGTGCCTGAACTCTGTCTTGAAACCGTTAATTGAAGTAAAGCAGAGATCTCTGTTTAGAAAGTAGCAATGGCTCAGCACAGGGGGCTTCCACTATGGGCAGAGCCCTGGAACAGTCCCTCTAACAGGGTTGTATAGGCAACAGGCTGTCTCTCCTGAGAATTCTCTAAGGCCTACTCACTGTGATCCAGCTAATCTGAAGGACTTCTTCCACCTTCAGCTGACACTGGCTCAAAAGTATCCCAGGAAGATCCCTTTGGAATGCCGCCCTGCTTTCCCTGAGACTTTGGGATGATTGTTCAGCTCCTTCGTGAGCTAAAATCATTCAGGACTTCTAAAAGGTTCTTCTAAGCCTTGGAAGGTTTAACAGCATTTCCAGGCTGGGTCAATCTCCAGTAGGCAAAGGACTTTGCTACTCTGCTCCAGTCCCTATATACCTCTCTCAGCCTCCTGCTGGTCACTTTCCCAACTAGAGATTGGCTGAGGCTGTATAAAGGGCCAGCTCAGGCTCTAACTATCTGCCCACTATGTTCCAAAGATTTCTGGAAAGACAAGACGACAGGTAAGCCTGCAGCTGCAGAATCCAGAGTAGATGAAAAGTCATCACAGCTCCACTGGCTACAACAGAACCCAAAACAGCTAAATTTACCTCTTTATCTCAGTAGCACCTAACTAGGATGGTGCTACAGTACCATTTTAAGGATAAAAATAAGATGATTTTGAAATTGCCGGCTTTTTGTTGCCCTGTCACAACCTTTTTCAGTCTTGTTACTGCCATCAAAGTAAGTGGTACGAACAAAGAAAAGGTGAAAGCACATTTTGCAACTAATTTGGGTTGATTGCAAATAAAAAGTGCATCTTGGAGATTCAGTGTCTCAGAAGTAGAGATAGGCAGAGGTTCTCCAATCCATAAAAAGCTGCATGTATTAATTGTCACAATAGTGTTCTGCAATGTAAAATTTCAAAGAATTTAAATATACTGTATCATCTACAGTACATATTATCAAAAAATTCTGAGACTCTGGATTTATCTCTGCCCTCACAGGGGTGTGGAAAGTTTTTTGAAAAAAAAAACTGCTTGTCCAGGGACTAAATTGGTGTGCCAATCTACTTTCCCTTCAGGACAAGCTACTTGTCCAGATGAAAAAAATTATTACTTTTAACCAAACACCCCCGCCTGTTTCCAGCACCACATCCAGGGACTAGCAGGGACGATAGAGACCTTGCAGTGTAATGAGCACCAGTTGGCTGCTCCTCAGGAAAGGGGAGTGTCGGGCTTATCCTTTATCCCTTTCGCTGCCAGAGCCGTTTTTGCATTTTTGTACAAGATTACAAAAATCATTTTAGGCCTGAAGATTACATAAAACCCCCTAACATTATATATTTTCTGAAATCAGAGACCCTAGAGCAGTGGTTCTCAACCTTTCTAATGCTGCGACCCCTTAATACAGTTCCTCATGTTGTGGTGACCCCCAACCATAAAATTTTCGTTGCTACTTCATAACTGTAATTTTGCAGTGGGAGGACTAGCGCCCCATCACTGATGTCAGTGGGATGAATAGTGTCCCATCGTTGGTATCAGTGGGAGGAATAGTGCCCCATCATTGGTGTCAGTGGGAGGAATAGTGTCCCATCATTGGTGTCAGTGGGAGGAATAGTGCCCCATCATTGGTGTCAGTGGGAGGAATAGTGCTCCATCATTGGTGTCAGTGGGAGGAATAGTGCCCAATCATTGGCGTCAGTGGGAGGAATAGTGCCCAATCATTGGCGTCAGTGGGAGGAATAGTGCCTCATCATTGGCGTCAGTGGGAGGAATAGTGCCCCATCATTGGCGTCAGTGGGAGGAATAGTGTCCCATCATTGGTGTCAGTGGGAGGAATAGTGTCCCATCATTGGTGTCAGTGGGAGGAATAGTGTCCCATCATTGGTGTCAGTGGGGGGAATAGTGCCCCATCATTGGTATCAGTGGGGGGAATAGTGCCCCATCATTGGTATCAGTGGGGGGAATAGTGCCCCATCATTGGTATCAGTGGGAGGAATAGTGCCCCATCATTGGTATGAGTGGGAGGAATAGTACCCCATCATTGGTATCAGTGGGAGGAATAGTGCCCCATCATTGGTGTCAGTGGGAGGAATAGTGCCCCATCATTAGTATCAGTGGGAGGAATAGTGCCCCATCATTGGTGTCGGTGGAAGGAATAGTGCCCCATCATTGGTATGAGTGGGAGGAATAGTGCCCCATCATTGGTATGAGTGGGAGGAATAGTGCCCCATCATTGGTGTCAGTGGGAGGAATAGTGCCCCATCATTGGTGTCAGTGGGAGGAATAGTGCCCCATCATTGGTGTCAGTGGGAGGAATAGTGCCCCATCATTGGTGTCAGTGGGAGGAATAGTGCCCCATCATTGGTATCAGTGGGAGGAATAGTGCCCCATCATTAGTATCAGTGGGAGGAATAGTGCCCCATCATTGGTGTCAGTGGAAGGAATAGTGCCCCATCATTGGTATGAGTGGGAGGAATAGTGCCCCATCATTGGTATGAGTGGGAGGAATAGTGCCCCATCATTGGTGTCAGTGGGAGGAATAGTGCCCCATCATTGGTATCAGTGGGAGGAATAGTGCCCCATCATTGGTATCAGTGGGAGGAATAGTGCCCCATCGTTGGTGTCAGTGGGAGGAATAGTGCCCCATCGTTGGCGTCAGTGGGGGGAGGAATAGTGCCCCATCGTTGGCGTCAGTGGGGGGAGGAATAGTGCCCCATCGTTGGCGTCAGTGGGGGGAGGAATAGTGCCCCATCGTTGGCGTCAGTGGGGGGAGGAATAGTGCCCCATCGTTGGCGTCAGTGGGGGGAGGAATAGTGCCCCATCGTTGGTGTCAGTGGGGGGAGGAATAGTGCCCCATCGTTGGTGTCAGTGGGGGGAGGAATAGTGCCCCATCGTTGGTGTCAGTGGGGGGAGGAATAGTGCCCCATCGTTGGTATTAGTGACACAAATGATGGGGCACTATCCCTTCCACTGACACCAATGATACTTACCTTGCTGACTCCTGCTCCAGCCTGGGCTCGCTCTCTCCCTCTCCCATCTACAGCCTGCATACCTGGCTGCAGCAGCAAAATTTGCACTTACCTGTCAGCTGTCTTCCTTCTCTGGCCTCTCTCTTCACTCGTTCCTGCAGCTCCCTCGATCTTCTTCGATCTCCGCGCGCTGCTGCTCGGCTCCTCCTCTCCAAGCTCCACCTTCTCGCCGGTGATTGGCCGCCTGTGTGCCTCTCCTGAGCTACAGTTCCGGTGGCCAATCAGCGGCGAGGAGGCGGTGACAGGGGCAGCATATCATCCCGCCCACACATTGCCGGAGACAGCAGCGGTGTCTCGGTTCATAAGACCATCGGAAATATGTGTTTTCCGATGGTCTTAGGCGACCCCTGGGAAATGGTCGTTCGACCCCCAAAGGGGTCGCGACCCCCAGGTTGAGAACCGCTGCCCTAGAGAATAAAAGTGGTAGTTCCAATTTTTTATGTCACATGATATTGCGGCAAAATTTCAGTAAAAATACAAGTAGGTTAATTTTAGGGCACAAAAAAAAGCAATAAATTACCCTTTTTTTTAAAAAAACATATACAAAAGATGAGGTTGCATTGAGTAAATGGATATCCAACATGTCAAACCTTAAATTTGCGTGTGCTTGTGAAATGGTGATGAATTTCGGTACCCTAAATTTTCTATAGCTGACGGTTTTAAATCCCTTTATTGGGCATAAGTTTAGTGTTATGGAGGAGGCCTGGTGCTAGAATTATTGCTCTCATCCTGGCGTGCGCGGCAATATGTAACGTGTATCGCAATCGACGTTCACATGCATAGGCACCCCAGCGTGTGCTTTTGTTTGTACGGTGTATATATGTGTGGGGGGGGGGGGGGGGGGGGGATGTTATGTGCTTAGGTGTAACTTTCATCACAAAGTCCCCTATGTGATATTAGGTGACAGATTCTCTTTTTATTGAGACATCCAAGGTCTAAAAGACCCTGCATGTCTCTTCTGTACTGAATGTAAAGCAGTGTACATCGCACCGCATTACATTTTCTGAATCTCTCAACAGGGACCCGGAAGTAACATCATAACGTCACTTCTGTGTCAGGACAAGAAGGGGAGTGGACATGTCTGCTCTCCTCCCTCCACTCTTGCTGAAGGCGGTGATCCGGGCCGATGGTAAGCGGAGCCCAGGAGATAGTGGGTGGGGGAAGGTTCACATGAGAGGGCGGAGAGGCTGGCACTGTGTGGAAGCAATCGGCAGCAGCGCTGCCACCCAAATGCTTCCACCTGACAGG